CTTTCAAAGTTTTCACATTATCGAGAAAATTGAAACTTTTCAATCAACCGTACTATAAGCCAGTATATGGAAATGTTAAAGACATTAAAATGATCGCAAATAGCAATCAAATATCTGCAAAAGCACGATGAAATAATGATAAACATTTAAAAACCACTTACAGTGCTGCTGCTCGACTCCATTTTGTACTGTAGTAGCGAATGTATCCGATTTTTCCGGTCTACTCCGGGATCGTCCGTAATTTTTTCCGACAATTTCCGTTTTCTGTTATTGACGAATAAATAAACGAGAATCGGAAGATTTTAAAATCCTAAATCAAAGTTATCAGCTCCCATCCATTACTCATTTATTTGTTTTAGCTTATTTTACTTGATTCTAAAAGCCGTGCAAATTAAAATTTAACAAATGATAAACCGTCAGATATAGCTTTATACACTTTAAGGATTTTACCATACAGACACTAGAAACTTGATAACACTACTTGAACCCTGACCTCTGACCCAAATCATTACAAAAGTTGGATATTGTTCAAACCTATGTTTAAACAAGTATATATAGATATTGATTTTTTCTGTTTCAAAAAGCAATTAATTGTTGTGGACAGCTTACTTGGTAGATTTTTTTTAAGGTTTTAAATATTATGAACAAAGGCGAACTGTTGAATACAAAAGTTAGAGAAGTTTTATAAAATGTTTAAGAGAACGATCTTAGAATAGTGTATTCTTTTCTATTTTTAGGCTGGGTTTTTAACATCTGTTTCTATTTTTGGTCTTCACTACTGTATTAATGTAAACAAACTGTGTTGGCAAAGCATACTGTGTTGGCGAGACTTACTTTAAAGTAAAAACGAATTTTTGAAATATTGATTTTATTTTTGACACTGTATAAATTATGCTGTTTAAAAATCCTCATGTGAAATATGAAAAGGAGAAAATATTTAATAGAAATAGAGAATAAAAAACCATGATTAAGTGGTATTATACTTGATATAAATACTTGTTTTAGAAACTGTGCTTTAGTATTTGATGAAAAGAATGTAAACAGTGTTTTGCAGTGTGAAATATTTGGTTTTATAGATAAACAGCATTAAAAGGTTTTTTTTTTTTTTTATTCATTCCAGATACATTTGAAATTCTTTAGTGTGAATTGAAATGATGTGAAGTGTGGAGTGACAACCTGTTTCAAGAGGATTATAGCCTTTTATCCAGTATTTCAGGTAAAGTTTGTAAATTTCATGTTTTGAAATTTTTAGCTTTGTTAATTTTATGTATGCAATTGATTGGCCATGATGTTCTTGCAAGATTGGCCACATTGTTATTGCAACTTTGCTTTGTTAAATTGGTTTAAAGGATTTCAGTATTGAAATAAGAAAGAATGTGAGTAAGATATTTATACAAGTTATTTTATGGTCCAAGTTCCCCATTAAGCCTAAAAAGCAAATATCTATATCCTAATTTAAGCCTCATAATATTAGCCTCCTGTGACAATTTCCAGAAAAGTACACTTGGCTCTGAACCTTCTTTTTTGCTCTCGGTACAGTTAAAGTGATTAAGTTTTTTGTAAGGAAGTCAATATTCCATTTTGTTTACATTTTGCAGCATGTCATCATTTTGTTTACATTTTGTAGCATGTCATTGTGTACCTTAAACGCCAAATATTTCACAGTGACCACTATTTAATATCATCAGTTTGTACGGGGCTTCCATAAGTGGAAGTTTGGGAGTCATTTACTCCTTGATTTTATCTTGTGACTTCAAAAATGTAATTCTTTTCCTTACATCTATTTACCTGTTTAATTTCACTTCCAATGTAAGATATTTTGCAGTTTAAAAACTTCAAAATTTTGAATCTTAAGCCATGTTGTAAGCACCTTACAAGTTCTGAATCCATTATTATGATATTATAAAACCTGTTGGCCTTTCTACAGAAAGGGAAAAAAATATCTCTGACGCTTATTAGTTGAAAAAGTAAAGATGTTGTTTTGATGATAGAAGAAATATTTTTTGCCAGCTTGCATACTTTGAAAAATTGTATTTATTTCTTTTAACTATTAAGTATAAACAGACATTATTAGTCCCCTACCGGTTTAACCGGAGGGGACTTTAGGTTTACCCTCCGTCCGTCTGTCCGTCCGTCCGTCTGTCTGTCTGTCTGTCAGTCTGTCAGTCCGTCCGTCCGTCCACAAAACTGGATCCCGCGATAACGCAAAAAGTACTGAAAATATTTTTATGAAACTTGATATATGGATAGATGGCAGTATGGAGATTATGCACGTCTTTTTTTTTTCTTCCTATGTTGAAAATTCTGGTTGCTATGGCAACAAATAGTCTGAAAATATGGCAAATTTAACACATAAACTGGATCCAGTGATAACTCAAAAAGTACTGAAAATATTTTTATGAAACTTGAAATATGGGTAGATGGCAGTCTGAAGATTATGCACATCTTTTTCTTTTCTTCCTATGTTGAAAATTCTGGTTGCTATGGCAACAAATAGCCTGAATTTCAAATTTTCTGATTTAAATTTTTCAGCTTTTTCACTATATGTTCTTTATTTCTTAAGGTGTTTACTTCAAACTTTAAATATAAGTTTCTGGTCATCAACCACATCATATGTGACAAGGTTTATAACTCTAGCACAAAAAATATCAGTATTACCTCCCTTGAACTTAGATTTTTTAGGGGAAAAAATGTTGTCTTTTTTAAATAACTTCTTTATTTCCTAATGTATCTACTTCAAACTTCATATATATGTTTCTTATTATCAGTCGACATTTTTGAGAAGGTTAAATACTCTAGCAAGACTGTTTCCAGAATTATGTCCCCCTTGAACTTAGATTTTTTTAGAGAAACTGGTATTTTCACTCCAACTTCTTCATTCCTTATAGGATTTACTTTAAAATCCCACATCGTAATAATATGACAAGGTTGTATAAACATAATTTCCTTACTAAGCATGGAAACTTAACACATTACTGTGATATAGACAAACTTATTTTATTATGTTTTGTGGTTGATATTTTCAAATACAGACTTCATCCTCAAATTCATTATAAATGGCAATACACAGGAGTGTATGACAATTAAAGAACTTTTTGAGGGACCGGTAGGGGACTACTGTATTGCCCGCAATACTATCAAATGCTTGTTTCCCTTATGTTGTCATGGTTATTTAGTAAACACTTGTAAATAGCTCAGCCTCCCTTTTACTACAAGGTTTAGTAAACACTTGTATATGACAAAAATGGCAAATGATTCAATATTTTAAGAGGACACTAGAAAATAGAAACAAGTTTGTGTTTCAAAGGGAAACTTCCTGTTTATGGAGAGCATCTAAAAGGCAGGCGTGTTGCTCTCAGAAATAGTATATTTTACAGGAAATAATATATATATATTTCATTATTAACAAATGGGCGATCCATATCATCGGTTGAAATGCTGTTAAAATCTGTTGAATTTTCAGCCTGTAGATTGAAATATCCTCTTTGACCTTTGGCCAAATCGGTTGTTTTCATTAACCAGGGCTTTTTTCCTTCCATAGCAGCGGCCATTATAGGTCTGCTTCCCCAATGAAAAATGGTTTAAAATCAGGCAGTTTTCCCTAAAAATTGAATTTGCATTAAGCTTTTTCTTCCCAATTTGCAAATATGTTGTGTAATTTTTTTCCAAAAATTAAGGGCCAACCTGTGATAAAAAGGCCCTGTTAGCACAGCAGTTGCCTCAGATGAAAAATGTAAACCTTGCATGCAACCAACCAATGCAGACCAAGATCTGTGCCATCTGCTGATGATGCAACATGTTGCATCCTGAATTATAAAGGAAATTATATATTAAAAATGAAATGTATCAAGGATTATAATTATTCCATTTTTTAAGAAACAGACAAGGGCTTTAACATATATCAAGTTTCTCCTACACCCTTGTATTACTCAATTCTAAAAATAACATTCAAAATTATGAATAAATTCCCCTACTTTGAAAAAGGAATTTAATGTAGTTCACTGTTTCATTATATAGTTATAAGGAGAATAATATTTGAACGGAAGGTGAAAGTATTTTGATAAGATCTACATAATTTTTGTTACTTTTAAAAAATATGTAAACATTCACTTATTTTATATGTAATATAATATATAAGGCTTTAAATTGACAGTATTTTTATTTATTTTTTAAAATTGTTTTATTAAGGAAGCTCTTACATGAACTTTATATCGGTAAATCTGAAGTTTTGAAATTTTACACAAAGAAGTTTTTGTCTGATTTTTATTTGATTAGTTACATTGTAAAGTTATGATTGTAGTTGAGGTTAAACTGTTGTCTATCAACCATACGCCCCATGTAGATATATTATTCATTGCAAAAATTTATACTTTTATTATAATACTAGTAACTAGATGAATCGTCAGACTGAATGCACATGTTAATTATTGCTTTACTGATTAATATCATGATTGTTAAAACTTAAATTATTTTATTTTTTATGTTTTAGATAAATCTTATCAGACAAATACATGTAGTATAGAGTGCATTGAGACAATCACTTCTGGAAAATAGCATAAACAAGTGTTTGAAGGAGAAGTTGTGAAGAGGAAGTAAAGAGAAGTTGTTTAGTGGAGATTGGAAGAAAACACTTGTATAGTGAGAATTACTTGAATAAGGGATAAAATAAAGTTTTGTCAAAGGGACATCAGGAGGGGAAGTTGTGAGTATATTTAAAGAGGGAATATTGTACAAGAGGTGTGGAAGTTGTTTGCCTTGGTGAGGTAGGAGTAGAGGCAAGATGAGGAAGATACGGCTTTCAGACACGGATCTTGAACTGTTTGACATAGAGATTGGACCCACCGACTACCTGTTCTATCAACGCCACAAAGATGCCTTTAAAACAATGTGGAGGGAACAGGTGAGCTTATCATAAACATCTTGTAGGGAATAAAGACCAATTTGTAACATATAACATTTCATTGGACAAAAATTGATTTTTTTTGGCTGTGACAATTTTCTTCATATGGGATTATTATATTAAAGACCAATACGAGGGATGTTGAAATAAGCTAGAAAATAATGGTTGAAGTAATTAGTTTTTATTTGAAGAACTGAAATTGTAGTTATCTCTTGATAGCTTTATAACTAGTGGGATAAATATTATTTACAAGTAAAATGTTAAGGCCATAAAATCATAATTCAGTTATTGTTCTCTAAACATATTTGTTGGCATCATTTATTCCTCAATTTTCATCAAAATCATATTATTATATAGTGCTAGAAAACTTATGTCAGATACCGCTATTAAATACAAAAGTCATGTTTAAATCGAGGTTTTTAATTGTTTTTATTTACATAAATTGTGATTTAATTCCCATACTTTCCACTGTTATATAATGGCCACTTCTCTCTTTTCCTGTGTGAAAAAAAAACAATTGTTAAATGTAACACGTATACATAAAATTTCCCCACTCTTGAATTGATAATTGAATTGATAATTTGTAGTGACATTTTTTTTTATTTTTTTTTTATTTTTTTTTTTTTTTTAAATTTTTTTTTTAATAATTATGATTATTAGAATAAGATGTTTGAGATCTTTGCCAACCTCCTTTTATTGAATACAGTAGAAGCTATACAGTGAAGTCTATATCTTGAATGTTGTTAACATTGTAAGAGTGAATTTGTGTAACAACCAAACATTATTTCAAAGGGCTCTTTCTACACAAATAAAGCCTCAAATTTGTAAAAATGCCTTGAAAGTGTCTTTAATTAAAAACACCGAACTCAGTTTTAAAGAGATATTTGAATTTCGTACATGGATCAACAGAGGCAATTAAAGCAGAAAGATATGCAATTGATGATTAAGAGATACTCAACAATAAGTTAAAAATAATATTTTTGTGCTATTCTCAGTCGGATTTGAGTGAAAAGTGTTGCAACGCTTTTCAACTTTTGGTCATTTTTCACAATAATTATTCTGGAAAAAACAGAGTGAGCTGATGACCTGAAATTTACACAAAAATTAATGGTCTACTTAGTACTGGACTCTAGACCTACATCAAATGGAAAATTAAATTTAAAATTATTTTCTGTCTGGACATGTTAAAAAACCTCAGTGGAGTCCCTTTAAATCGTTATTTTTGAGTTATACAGTTGAATATAAAATGTTATTAAATTCAAAACTATTTAAGAATTAGTTTTTTATGATTTGTAAAATAACATCTTTGTTAATTTTTTCAATATTCAGGGAAAACCATTCTGGACTCGATTTCAAATTACATTTCGGAGTTTTACAGTAAAGCATGGAATTATAAAACAGATGAATATTGACTCTCCCAAGTTTCAAAACCTATTGGATCAAGCTTTCATTTTCATACACGAGCATTTTGTTGACGGTAGGTGGTCAATTTCTTAGTTTTTAATATACAAATTTATTTTAGTTTGATTAAGTTTGAAGCTATAAGCTTATTGAAACACTCTAGAATATGTTCCTAGAACCAACCAGTACTGAGCAATGAATGTAAAAATTTTTGTTCAAGGAGACAACGGGTTTGAACCCACGCAGTCAGCAATCCTTAGATTACTAGTCTGACGTTTTAACCACTCGGCCACGCCGCCAGCCAATTTCTTTAATCAGTCTGATTTATATCTTCAACATGTATTAAGGTTGTCATTAAAAAATTTCTGTGACAGTCCATTTTGAATTTGAGGCGATTAGTTTTGGTATTATCACATACGACACAGAATGTTTTCTAATTTTTGTGAAGGCCCAAAATGCATTTGAGACAGTATTATTGGCCTTCAGCCACCTCCGAATGTACAGGTTTAGTATTTTATGTGGAACTCCAATATGAGTTTGTTTGGAATTGATGTGCCTTTAATCATAATGTAATACTTTTTAAAATATACATGCCGGTGAAGTACAATATATTTGTCAAATTATTGAAAATCAAAACATGGACAAGGCATTCTTTTTGTATCATACATGAACATGAAGTAATGTGCATATAAAATTCTATTTTGTTATAGTTTGTTATGTAATGTTAGCCTACATTTTGTATAATATTGAGATAACAGTCTTAATGTGTTGTTGACATATAATGAAATGTGTATAAGTGTAACATTATATGACATTTGATCAGCTGTTATGTGGAACTCCAATATGAGTTTGTTTGGAATTGATGTGCCTTTAATCATAATGTAATACTTTTTAAAATATACATGCCGGTGAAGTACAATATATTTGTCAAATTATTGAAAATCAAAACATGGACAAGGCATTCTTTTTGTATCATACATGAACATGAAGTAATGTGCATATAAAATTCTATTTTGTTATAGTTTGTTATGTAATGTTAGCCTACATTTTGTATAATATTGAGATAACAGTCTTAATGTGTTGTTGACATATTATGAAATGTGTATAAGTGTAACATTATATGACATTTGATCAGCTGTTTGTACATGGGTTATTTAAAGGTAAAGAAAGTACTGCCAAGAATTTCATAGACGATGTGGCCAGGTTAGCCCAGAATCAGGATAAATTTCCTGCATTAGATTCAAAATCATTTGGTAAGTACATATGGATACATCAAAGCAGGTCAAAATAGGTAAAAAGATCTTACAGGGAAGATTTTTGTTGACACTTTGATAAGTTTACTGACTATAATCACTTTAACCTTTGTTGATTTAACCTGGAATATTTGTCATACTTTTCATTCAGGAAATTATTCAGCTGAATTATTTGAAGTTCTGGGGGGGGGGGGGGGGTTATGAAAGAATGCAGGACTGGGGTTTTCCTCTTTCTTTAAAGGTCAAATGTTGCTATATCAGGCTTATTTATATTTTTGATATGAATAATATAGTTTTTTAACATTTACAAGTTATTTGTTTACTGAGGTATGTTATAACATATAGCACAGATACATTTGTATGCTGTGTGTTTAAAACAATGAGCTACATGAATGGTAATAGTATAATTATATAACATATATAAGTTTATAAAAAATAATTTTAAAAAATCATATTTCAAGAATGTTATATTCTATATTCATTTGTTTGTTTCAACACTTTTGGTCATACATTAAGCAGATGTTCCACTTAACTTTCATTGATAACTGAACCAATAATTACCAATTTTTTCAGCAAATAACCTACTAATGATTAAGTTTAGCATTGCTTAATTAAGTTTTGCCTTAGCTTCTATGTCTCATTTGATACCAACAGTTTAAACTGTGTCATTTCTGTCTTATTTAGTCAGTTCATTTTGTTCTTTTTCAGCGAAAGATCCTTTTTTTGCGAGAGACACTCGTGAACTTTTTAGAAAATTTTTTGGTACTCCTGATCAGAAGTCATCATACTTAAAGGTAAAAATTACACTTATTAAATGATATAGTCAGTTGTAAGATTTTCAATAAATGCAAACATTGAGTGTTAGACTGCAGGGATCGAGCCGAAAGTGCGCTCTTTATACATAACCTTAAACACAAGCTTTTTTCCTGGTGTACCTTCGTTAAATGTAAACAAACTAATAATGAGAATTCTAGTGGTCTATCCTGTCTTGAAAATCATGCACAAATTGCAGGAGAAATAGCATAGCATGCAGGACAAGGAGAAATTTGAAGCTACTCATCCTACAGGACAGGACGAGTGGATCTAAAAAAGAATTCAGATCCTGTCATGTCTAGAATCTGAGTCATGCGGTCCCTTTAACATAAAGTTTTACTTATGTAGAGGGCTTAGTTTTAATACAGTTGTTTATTAATAAATATGATGAATAAACTTTTGCCATTACAATGTTTAAGTTAATCCCTATATGACATTAAATTGAATAGTAGTTATGAGGAAAGGGGTTGCTTAATAGCTTGATTTCAGATGGCTTTTGCTATTTGGCTTTATAACACAGTTATATGTTATTGTTCACAGGTATATATTTTGTGTCCAGTCTATTTACGTTTTGGTGGTTCAGTATGTAGATGTTTGATTCGCTGGATGGAGGCCCCTACTATGGACGATCCAAATGACGATTCTTATTGGGTGCCTCCGCAACCAAATTTGACGGATAAATCTCGTGAAGAATCTATAGAGACTACAATGTGTCCTAACTGTGTAGACGATTGTGGAACAAAATATTTTAGTGAAAAGATTATGGGTAACAAAAATGGACCCATATCGCTGGATTTTTGGACGTTGGGTGATCCTCGTTTTAAAGACGGAGAAAATCCTCTTTTTGCTCCTCATTTGAATCCTGACGATGACTGGAGGGATTTACTCACTGTTGAAATGTTTCGTGATTTTTACAATTTTGCAAAATTCAAGTATGGCACGCCGGAAGATAAATGTAAGGAGTGTCAACGCTTGAAAAAGAAACGCGATAAATTCATTCATGTGTGTAAATTGAGCAAGAAAAAGAAGAAACAAGAGACGAAAGATAAGGAAGAACTGATTAAGGATTTAAAGGAAGTTCGTACTAGAATAGATGAACTCGAAGATGAAGATATAAAAGATGATTATGAGACTCGTATAAGGGACATCATAAAAGATAAGCCTCGTGTTAGAGAAGCTTTGGAAGAGGTGAGTGTAAAGAATTTTTGGGTTACTTTCTATGAGGTACCTTAAAATTGAACTTGCATTTCCAGCCCTTTTTTTCCTATATAACTTATATATCGGCTGATAAATGGCAACATTCCCAATAAAAATAGACAGCAAATTTCCCAATTTTTGACTTTTAAATTCTTAGAATTACACTTCCAAAATAGGTATATTTGTCTGTTTGAATGAGTTTTACATTACACCAACACAGAATAGGTCATATGGCGACGTTCCAGCTTTACTGGTGAAGGAAGCCCTCAGGTGCCCTTCCGTGCATTGTTTCAGGTATAAACGAGCACCTGAGTAGAACCACGACATTCCATATGCTAGCCGATAGCTTCCTCTCATTTGTAAAGAATCCAAGTCCCTGTCGGGATTCAAACCCACAGTGGAAATAGATATATAAAAGATAAACAAAAACAGTGATGCGTCTATATTGGTAAGTGATATGTGATAAAAGCCATGTACAAATGTATAACTACATTCATGAGTGATATTTATACCCAATTCATTTTGTTCTTCTAGCACTTCACACTAAAACATGATTTATGTACAACTCTCAAGTCAAATAGGAAAAAATATTATTTAAGTAATGTGTCTTATTGTTTATAAAATATACCGTAGTTTACAAGTGTATAAACAGTATGTTATGCATAGTTCTCATGCCTCCTTGGATAAAAAAAAATCCTGATGAATACTTTGTGTATTATGTAAAATTCCCAGTTTGATGCATTTTTCCAATTTGTTCAGTATTAGCACCATTCCCAAATTAGGGTAAAAAAAGGCTGATTTGACTCAAATGGACATGGTAGAACAGGGCATCATGAGGAGCAAAAACGCTGTCCTAGTGTGATCTGTTTAATAAAATCCATGAGAGCCATAGATTAGTAATAGATCAAGATGCATGTAAATATATAGTGATATACACTATAATACAGCTATTTATCTAGCAAAAGTGATTTTTCACCTTATTTAACAGATGCCTGTAAAGGGACCCTTCCCAGTTGGAATTTTCTATAAAATCATGCAGTTTTCCCCAAAATATCCAGTTTTACTTGTTTTTTTTTACTTCCCAATAAAGCAATTTAAACAATGGTTCTTCCTGAAAATAAGAGCTTACGGCCTTTTTTCCCAATAAAGTGAGAAAAATCATTGATCAATATAAAAATATCAAGTGATCTCCATATATTTTAGTAAAATTTAATTTGCTAAATGAAATATAAAGTACTGAATTTTATGTGTCTTTATTTATTATGAATATATAAGACAAATGTTTTTGTATGCGTTTAAATGACAGGTGTTTTATCAAATAATCTTTGTTTGGAGTGAGAATGACGTCATAAATATGCTACATGTTTTCTGGTTTCCCAAATACTGAAGAAGTACTGTTATGAACACTAATGTATTATTTGTGAAAAAACTTGGACTGAAGCCAAAAGACCTCAGTTTGATAGCTTATTAAATACATACAAAAAAAACTTCAATATGATATGTATAGGTCTCAAAGTGCAGTTATAAATGATCCTTAAATAAATTTCTAATTGAAGTATTTGCTATTGTAAATAAATTTAATAAGCCTGTTTTGTATTCCTCAAACAAGAGAACTTTATTAAACTTTGATTAAACTTTGATTAGGGACGTCTGTGGCCGAGTGGTTAAGGTCGTTGACTAAAAACCACTAGCCCCTCACCGCTGTGGGTTCGAATCCCGACAGGGACTTTGGATTCTTTCATGTGAGGAAGCTATCCAGCTAGCTTCCTGAACATCGGTGGTTCTACTCAAGTGCCCGTTTGTGCCTGAAGTAATGCACGGAAGGGCACCTGAGGTCTACCTCCACCAGTAAAGCTGGAACAAACAAAAACTTTGATTAAGTTACAGAAATAGAAGAATATAAACAGATTTATAAATCATTACACTCATTAACTTAATTGACAAGTTTTAAAGTGGTCCGCCTCCAAATAAGAATAATATATCACGAAAAGAAAATAAATTCATGAAAAAAATGTAATTCTTTTTGAAATTTATGGATATTCTTATTGAAACTTAAATTGTTAAAAGTGACAATGTGCTCAGTTTTAATGGTCAAGTAAATAGGCTAAAGCACTAGTTCTCATCTACCTATCTTGTAGGGGATCAGTTTTACTGGCAATGTCGAACAATGCATACATATTATATATATGGGCATCGCTGATTGTCCTCCACCAGTAAAAGGATGGAAAATTATCATTGACTTGTGTGTTTTTTTTGCTTAAATTAATCTTTCGTCACAAATGAGAAAAAAAATAACAAACAAAAAACCACAAACAAAAAAACTTGTCTGTAAATTGATTAAATAGGGCAAACTTACAGTTATCAGTGACATCTTTACGGCACTAAACTTTATCAATAAGTAGAACTTGACACAAGGTTATATGTTACATAAACATAAAGAAGAGGTCATGGTTTTTGTAAACAACTTGCTGAATGAATCTATTGTTGAATTTAGATTTATCGTGAACACTTTTTATTGGCTTTTAAATAAACTTCATTCTGCATAAAAAATCAATGCATGTTATAAATACTTGTCAAGTTCATTTCATGTTTAAAAAGAAAACAGTAAAGATCCAGTAGTAAACTGAGTAATTTGAATAAACTTTGTTATATACATGTAGGATTTTTTAAAACTTTGATTCTTTATTACAATTTATTTGGCTAAGAAAATTCATTTTTGTAGAGTTTTGAATAAGATTTGTAAAGATGAATTCATAAGATTTTAGTTTTTAGAACTATGATGATAGCTTTATATTGGTGAAGAGATTTCAGCAAAGTTAACATATTTTTCAGTGGGACTGTTGAAAGAATAGGGAAAGCTATTGTACTCACCCAGGTGTGGGCATCATCACTTCAGTTAAGATTCTGCATGCAAGTTGATATCTTGAAAACTAATGAAGGAAATGTTTTGAGTCTTCACACACTTCACTGTTTAAGGCCCATAAATCTTAACATGGATATTGACAGAATTATGGCCGTTTTTGAATTTAGGAAAATTCTACATTATCTAGAATCTTGTTCTGAGAATAGTCCTTAATGATGTCCTACTGACAGCTCTCAGCAGGGATATTTTGGCTTATTTTATAGCCGATATTCGGTCATATTCCCAATTGAAAATAGTACAGTATTTTCCCAATCCACAGGAAAAAATTCCCAGTTTTAATGTAACAAAATAAAAATATTGAATAACAATTCTAAAATCTTTGAAAATAAGGGCTTCTACACTGTTATGGCGCTTAAATGTTTGAAGATGCAATCCTAGACAGTGATTCTTTGCATTCATTTAATCACTGCAAAATTTAAATCATTCATTTTTCCCCAATTTTTAACAAAACATCCCTGAAATTCCCAATTCCATGGGTATGGGTCATGTTCCTAAAATCCTGGGGAAAAAAACGGTGGCTATTGTTATTGATATATATTTGATAATGTAAAACAAACATATGTTTTTTCTCTATATACTTTAAAGTTTTATGTAAATTTATTATTTCAGGCTGAGCGTAAGGATAAGTTAGAAAAACTTCATACAGAACAACTTAAAGCAGATGAAAAGAAACAAAAAGCTATAAAGAAAAGTAGTAGAAAGTCAAGCCCAGAAAAGATGATTTGTGACACAGATAAAAATGATAAAGATTCTGAAAAGAATGATGACGAAACTGATACTGGTAAAGTCACAAAAAGGAAAATGTCTGACAGTGAAAATGAAAGTAAAGTTAATGAACATGAAAGTGACAGTGGAATTTCCTCTACAGAAAGTTCAGCAGAAAAGGAACCGACAGAAGGAAAGAATGACACTGAAACTGAAGACAGTGACAACAGTAATACTGCTAAAGACAAGGAAAGTGAAAATAAAATAGACTCTGATGGGCCAAATGAAAAGGGTGATGCACATGAAAATGAGCCAGACATTGTTAAAAAAGATCAGGGTGATGTAGAAGATGGTGACAAATCATCTAAAAATGATGTTTTTATAAATGAGACTGCAAAATGTGACCATTCACATGTTAGTTTTCTAGGTGAGAAAGAGCAGCCTTCCAGTAAGAACTCTGTGTCTGGATTTAAGGTGATAAAGATAGAAGATTCTGACAATGGTCTATTTGAAGTGAATGTCTCGGCAGCTTGTCTGAAGGTATAGTACTATACTTTACTGTGGGTTCTCTTGTCAAATCCTTTAACCTTTATTGTACTGACATTTTAACTTACTGTACTGACATTTTGTATTGAATAAATTTGACCAGCTTTGAATTTGCAACATTCAAGATAAAAGTTCAAACTTACATTATCATTATGTTCAGGATGCCTTTAAAACAAAGAAAGAAAAAAAACAAGTTGAAGTTGTTAATAAAGTACATGTAGTTAATAATAAAATCATACATTTGTAACTGAGGTACAACATGTCATGATGGTCTGTTTCTAATATAATATTTTTGCAATAAACCACTTAGGGAAGGATCCCTATCACCTCATGGTTTGTTCACTTTACACATGAACTCCAAATATAATTATCATTATAAGTACAGTATTGTACCGATACTTTGTTACATCATTGTTCCACACATGTTATTTTTTATTATTTGAAATATAAACTTTCTATACATACAGTCTGATAATGAAGAAGAGACTCAGATCTTGAAAGATAAACTTAAGACACAAGAACTGAATAACTTCATCCTATCTGCTAATCTGTTGAGGGAGAAGATATTTGGACTCCCTGAAAAACTCGAGTGGTGGGAAGGGCGTGGTTTCGCTGTTGCCGTGGTGAATTATGAGGAGGAAGAGAAAGAGTTTACAAAAAAATGGACTCACTTTACACTGAAAATTAACGGATACGATGAAAATGCAATAAAGCACACTTTGATTCAATGTAAGTTTACCTTTAGAGAAGAAATATTGTTTCTTTAGTGTAAATTTGTAATCCAATTTTAAATCTATTAAAACAATTTTAAATTTGATGCATACATTCTCCCTATATAAACATTTAATTTAGTAAGTAAGTAACGACTTTATTTAATGAGGCTAACACATTCGGTTTCCCGATCTTCCGTGCGGGCCTCAGCATATACATAGCATATACATAACAATATATACATTACACATTTTAAATAACATATATACACAAACAGAAAAAAAAAAGATATCAAGAAGCCACATTTTCATAACCTGGGCATGAAAAATACATTATTTTACAAGTAAGATTAGAACAATATTGTAAAAACAAAACATTATACATTCTATTCTTGTGTGGCATTTTTATTACAACAAAATGTACACTCATTTAAATAGAAAATTGCCACTTAATATATGTGGCTTGAAATTTCTTCAAAGTATCTGAATTTCGAATATAATTAGGATGTCATTCCTGATTCCATATTTTAGGACCAGAATAGTCAAATGATTTCCTAAAGTACTCAGTTGTTGGTTTCGGTATGACAAGTTTCTCATTTTGAACAGATCTTAAGTTGAAGTTGTGTTTCATTTGGAATTTATTTTTCATATAAATAGGAAAAGATGGCTCATTTATAGATTTATACATGAGAATAGCTTTTTTGTACATAATTCTTTGATCAAAGGACATACAATTAAGCTCTTTAAATAGTTCATTTGATGGGGAATCAAAACTTTTATCCAAAATTATTCTAGCAGCTCTTTTTTGAAATTTGATAATTTGTGAAAGTAATTCACTACTGCAGTTTCCCCATATAATTTAACTTAATTGATATGAAAATTTGAAGTTTATTTCAATTGTTCTCAAGTCTGCTTCCTGGAACTATTTCATATGAATAAACATGGTTGTAACTCTTGTAAGGCTCAAACCTAGGATTCCATCAGTTTACCTGGCTGAGAGGTAGCTTAGGTAATACCTTAACTACTAGGCCACAATTCCCTAATTCCATAGATTTGAACAATATAAGGATTTCCGTCTTTAAAATAATACTGTTGTTAATGGAAGAGATACATTTTATTCATTTTAATAAGTAAAGAAGTTCTATGGAAAATTTTTAATTTCATGTTATAATTCATATGAAATCTATTTTAGTTTGATTGTGTAGGAATCTATAAGTTTATAGACACATTGTTGAATGTTGTTTTTGATCTTCAATCATAAATTAAACAGAAACATTGTGCAATTTTCAGTGTTGATATATGTGTCCAAAAGGAAGCGGCGTATTTGTTATGGTTGGAATATAGAAGTAGATGATGTTGTAGCGTGTATTTTACCCGAGGAGTCGCCTGCTATTGAAGACCTCAGTATAAGCATCAGTCGAGGGTTTCGTTTTGAAGATCGTTTAACAGAATTTGAAAGAGAATCTTTACTTAAACATTATGTAAGCTTTTGTAGTCTTTTCATTGAAAAGAAATTCAAACAATCATTATGCTGTAAGCAAAGTAGTAGGATATGATTTTGTAAATGATCGCTACAAGAAACTCATTGAAGCATCGTGTTTGTATGGTTTCAACGCAAAATCTGTACAAAAGAGTACAGTCACTCAGCAAATTATTCTGTTGTATTATATATGGATTTAACTCAATACAGGATTGGAGCAATACCTGTAGACGCTTGCAGAAATCATGATCATAAAACAGACAAATATCGTTTTTTTCACCGATTTTTACATTTTTCATTCATTATCTGACATAAATCGGTGTGAAAAGATGAATTAGACGTTTTAAAGTTTATTCCGTTGGGTGAAAAAGCAAGATTTTAGCATTTTATAGTTCAAGCGCCTTGTCCGGTATATACCGTAATACGGTATTTAGTCTGGTGCTCGAATCCTTTTTAGCTCGACTATTCGAAGAATATGAGAGCTATTGTAGTCGCCCCGGCGTCGGCGTCAGCGTCCGCGTCGGCGTCTGCGTTGGTTAAAGTTTTTTGTAAAGTCAAATATCTCAATTATTACTTGAGATATTCAATTGAAACTTACAATACTTATTTATAGTAACAAGGTACATCAGATTGACAAGTTGGATAACTCTGCCTACAATATTGACAGAATTATGCCCCTTTTTAACTTAGAAATTTTGGTTAAAGTTTTTTGTAAAGTAAAATATCTCAATTATTACTTGAGATATTCAATTGAAACTTACAATACTTATTTATAGTAACAAGGTACATCAGATTGACAAGTTGGATAACTCTGCCTACAATATTGACAGAATTATGCCCCTTTTTAACTTATAACTTTTGGTTAAAGTTTTTTGTAAAGTCAAATATCTCAATTATTGCTTGAGATATTCAATTGAAACTTACAATACTTATTTATAGTAACAAGGTACATCAGATTGACAAGTTGGATAACTCTGCCTACAATATTGACAGAATTATGCCCCTTTTTAACTTAGAAATTTTGGTTAAAGTTTTTTGTAAAGTAAAATATCTCAATTATTACTTGAGATATTCAACTGAAACTTACAATACTTATTTATAGTAACAAGGTACATCAGATTGACAAGTTGGATAACTCTGCCTACAATATTGACAGAATTATGCCCCTTTTTAACTTAGAAATTTTGGTTAAAGTTTTTTGTAAAGTAAAATATCTCAATTATTACTTGAGATATTTAATTGAAACTTACAATACTTATTTATAGTAACAAGGTGCATCAGATTGATAAGTTGGATAACTCTGCCTACAATATTGACAGAATTATGCCCCTTTTTAACTTATAACTTTTGGTTAAAGTTTTTTGTAAAGTCAAATATCTCAATTATTGCTTGAGATATTCAATTGAAACTTACAATACTTATTTATAGTAACAAGGTACATCAGATTGACAAGTTGGATAACTATGCCTACAATATTGACAGAATTATGCCTCTTTGGAACTTAGAAATTTAGGTTAAAGTTTTTTTGTAAAGTCAAATATTTCAATAATTGCTTGAGATATTCAATTGAAATTTAAAATACTTTTTTATAGTAACAATGTACATCAGTTTGCAAAATTGTATAACTCTGCCTGCAATATTTGCAGAATTATTTGCCCCTTTGAAACTTAGAAATTTTGGTTAAAGGTTAAAGGTCTTCAAAGTTCTTGAAACTTTACACATGCACTTAGGGTCATAATTGGAGGGTCATACTATCAAGCGCTTAGAATAGTCGAGCGTGCTGTCCTACCGACAGCTCTTGTTTTAGTCACACTCATTATATATTGAGAGGTGACATTGTTGCTGACATAACCTGCCTTTGATCCAGGTAGATGAGAATCTGTTGAAGGTTATTTTACACATTTTATTGCAAAAGCATATACCAATAGAGTTGGAAAGTTGCAATTCTACTAACAGTGTCATGCAACAATTGTTAAAGAACAAAATTAATGAGTTGAGAAAAAATTTGAGAATTAATTTTCTCATTCATGCAGCTGAAATATTGTAGTATCTTATCATTGGTAGTCTATTTTTAGATTAATTTAAATCTTGAATTGTTATTGGTTGAAATGTTTTGAATGCTGTACTGTTATATATGATTGGTTGTCTATTTTTAGCCTAATTTAAATCTTGACTTGGTATTGGCTGGTATTGAGAAAGGAGCTGCTGTTAAAACTTTTGAGAAGAAAAATGGAAAAGAAAAACTGAGGAAAATTATAGAACAAATTGCAGAGAAGGAGGTTTGTGTTTAAGTTAAAACTATCTGACCATTTTTACTGAAGTATAGAATTCAATAGTAAACTTCTTGAGCTAAAATTCTCTAATATTTTCAAAGGTTTGACATACTTTGCCATCTAACCCGACCCAGAATTTTCAAGGTGGGTAGGTAGGCCGATTTTTTTTTTTTATTGAACTGTACTCCCAAATAAACATGGAATTTCAAAATGCTGGACAATATATGCTTTGATAATCTGGTAACAATTAATAAATTGATAACTGAATTCTAATTTAATAAGACCTACATTTGAAAACAAAGCACACGGCATAATTTTCTGATTCAAAAAAAATAATTTTATCCAGACCATGAAAAATTTTTTGAGTAGGGGCAAATTTTTCGAGTCGGTCGCGTTACTGCAAACAAACATTTTTTTTTAAGGATGGCCTCAATAGTAAACTTCTTGAGCTAAAATTCTCTAATATTTTCAAAGGTTTGACATACCTGGCCATCTAATAGAACTAGCATGGTCTTGTTGGTTTGTGTCTTAAAAAGTAGAGATGGATTTCTGTTGAAGATCTGAATTGTAAAGTGTCTGATATTAGTATTAATCAGTTCTACAAAAAAACAAAAGCAGAAAAACTTTATTTGTTACAGAATATTAAATAAGGTTCCTAAAATTGCAAGTTTACCCTTGTATGATTGGGACGGTACCAAGGGGTCCACATGCATGTGGAGAAATCTTGCTCAACATATGTTAAGATCTTTCTTATCCAAATTTAATCTTTAAGCAGAAATAGATTCATGTACAGTATCATCAATAAATTATTTATTTCAAAGAAAAAATTATAGTCACTTGAACAGAATTGAACATCTTACTTTAAATTTCTGACATTAAATGCTATGTTTATGATTTACTTACTCTTCATCAAATGTAGGTATTATCATAGACATTGATAAGTTATATATGAAAGTGTCTGGGGCAGTCGAAAGTAAATTACAGGTAAAAAGTAACTAATATGTGATGATTTATTCAACCAAGTTTATGTATGAAAATTTACAAAACATATGAATAGATGGAGCAGTTGTTTCCACACTGTAGCTCTGAATATAGATTTATTATTTATATTGTATCATTCAGTAAGAGGTACAATTGTAATTATAAGCTGTATGTATGGGTTTGTTTTTTTTCAGATTCTTTCTAAAGACCTACCAGTTGTTGATGTTGAAAAATTGCGGTAAGGTCTATTTACCTATAAGTAAATAAAATGAAAAATCATTTATGTAATTCAAGTTAATGGGTAAATTAAAACATTTTATATATATCACTAAATGAATTCATGATAAGGAATTCCATATATTATATCATTTAATCCAGACAGGAACAAAATCTTTAAGTCTTAGTCGCTTAATGAGTGAATAAAAGTGATTTTGTACATAATAAGTTAATGAATAAGTAAAGGTTCATCAATAAACTCATAATTGGAAGCTTATTATCTCAAAAATGACATTAGGATACTGTTTATTAATATGTTGTTTCATCGTTTCTCGAAAATTATGAATTTCTTTTTTGTTTTTTTCTTTTACAGAAAAAAGTTAAACTACAAGGTATGCTTTTTCCTTTTTTTATGTGAGATTGATGGGCAACTGAATTTGTTACATTTTATTCCAAATATGTCTGAAGAAAACAATGAAATAAAGTTTTATATTGTTAGAAAAAAGTTTTACATATGCTGTCATATTTTTTATCTGAAAATGGTTAACGGCTGGAAAAAAGCATTTTATGATTTTCATAAAAAGGAAAAAGATTAAATTTAAGCAGGATATTTTTATATCCTATACACTTTTGGTAAATAATGAGGTTTCATTGAAATATATGGACTCTCAGTACAGGTGTGCCTAATAATGTCAAATGCATCATCTGATTAAATTGTTCTTATAATTCACAGGAAGAGATAACCAAGGCTGATATTTTATGGGAGCAACTTATTCGCAAACCTGAAAACTTTGAGATTTTTGTTCTTCTTGACAAAGATACAGGTATTTTTATGTGTGAATAAAATATTACGGAGACTTTTTTAATAAAGACATGTAACATTTTGTTAATAATTGCTTAAGTTTGTCTGTTTAAGCCAAATTTCGACATTGGCCAAATTCTAGTTTGAATTTTACAGATACATAATATATGAAAATAATATACATGTACATGTATATATATTATACTAAGGTTTAAATTTAATGAGAGTGGTCCAAAAAAGCTTTAATTTCATCATGATACTAAGAGTAAAGAAAAAAAAAAAGATTTACAAACCATTTTTGGATGAAGGCTTGTATCTGTAGGAAATAAAATTATATTTAATAAAGATGGAAATAAATTATAGAAATCCTATTATCTTAATTAGTTCCAGGAGATGGTGAATGGTGGAATTTAGGGATGAGAACAATGGATATCCGAGTTTACAACAATACTAAAAATCCAGACAAGAAAATATGTCCCATTTGTAAAACGTTTGGACTGGAATGTGATTGTGAAAAACCAATCAAAATAGAACCCAAAGTTGTTGAATTTGTTGAAAGTTCTGATTTTGAAAAAGTTAAAGTACTAGGCGATGAGGATGGTCCAACTCTTCCAAAAATGAAATACACAGAGACAAATTTGAACATGGATAAATCAAAGTCAGAAAAATCGGAGAAAAAAAGGAGGCCATCAAAATCAGCTAGGAAGAAGGAGAAGAGAATAGAGTTATCAGACTTGCCAGCTAAATTTTTAGAAGCCGGTTTAGATGCAGATAAAACTACAATTACAATACCCTCCAGAGATGAAGAGCCAATGATGGGGAAAGTACCTATACCTGTGTCAGATAAATTAGAAAGATTAGCTCCAGTACCTGGTATGTCATTATTGAAAATATGTACATACATACATGTCAAATTGTATCCATTTCTACATAATGATTTATGAGGATATACAGATGAAAAATAGTACAAATTCTAATGAATTAATCAATTTGGTCTACAGTCTGAATAATAATATCCCCACAAAAGCCCTATAGTTGAACTATTTAATATTGCTTCATTTGATGTTTGAGAATTGATGCTCTTATAGTAATTTTTATTTTGAATGGAAGTCAAATTTAACAATGTGAACAAAATTGTATACTCTGTTAATTGGAATCATGTTTCATTATAGATTAAGAAGCAGAGTTTTGCTACCACATTTAGTAAGAGTAGCTTCAAATGCCCATCTAAGTAGTATCTATATCAGTTATCCCAAGGAAACAGAAATATCTGTTAAAGTAAATAATTTATATTTAGGTGTTCAGAGCAGCCTTAACTTTACATTCCAAAATGGTAAGAAGGAGCAGACAATTACTGTGACACTGGGAGCATATATGCCTGAAGATAAAATTAATGAAATACAAGAGAAAAAAGGTCTCCTTAAAATCTTAGAGGAGGAGGAAAAGAGGAAGAATTCTAAAGCTATTGCACCAACAGAAAAGTAGGTTTACTTATATACTCATTACTTTCTTGACACTTTACTAAGGTTTCTTTGAAAACTGTAAGATAGTTTCTATAAAATTTGATTTTCCTTGACTTATTATGGATATATACTTCTGTGTTATTTTGGATTATTGGAATCACATGAAACCCACTTGTTTAAACTGTTTGTTATATTCAAAATCAGGGAAGTCCCATTCCTTTAATATAGTAGGGTCAGAGTTGAAACTGTGTTAAACTTGCTATTTTTTCACTCCTTTAGGAAAGACAAAAAGAGGAAAGAAAAGTCAAAATCGAAATCTCCACAAAAGAGTACATCACAAAAGGAAGATTCTGATAATGAAACAAAGAAAGAAAAAACTGCTGATATAACCACAAGGTTTGTAACACATGGTTCCTAGCCTCATGTTATACTACATGAGAGGAGGAATTTAGAATATAACTGTTGGTTCCCAATTTATGTCAGGAGGTCTGTTTGGTTGAGTGGTTCAGGTCACTGACATTAAATTGTTAATCACGAATTTGGATAAGACTTTAGCAAGAGACATTGTATTATTTGATATAAGTAAGCTATCAAACAAGGTAACTAAATGGGGTTATACTAAGCTTATTTCTTTGTTCATTACACAATAATGTCAGTAGTCTTCTACTACCGATTAAGCTGGAAATATTTTAGAGAGAATGTATTAAGATAAGCTCTAGCTGTTTCTTTGTATTTTATGTAGAATTTTGGTCTTTGTTTATTCCAGGAATTCCAGGAACTTTAATGCCCCTTCTTAAGGGGGGTATAGATTTGCCCTTGTCTGTTTGTTTGGGTATGATGATGTTAGTCTAATGGCTGACAGGACAGTGAAATTTGGGGATGTCTGTCTAGTTTGTTGTTTTGTTTGGTGAACAAAAGAATGCAAAACATGAGTTTGATAAATGTTCTTAGATTTTTATTTTTCAAAGTTCTGTGAACTTTTTATTACTTCAGTATGTTATTGTTCACTAGAATATATTTTACCATTTTGAAAATACATTAATGATGATTTATATCATTGTAGGTTTTTACAAGAGATTTTTGCAGATGAGCAGAAATTAAGCAAAGTCACAAAGACCATACATCAACATATGGGAATGTCCCACAAACGTCAAGAAGAAAAGAAAGAAAAGAAGGCTGTTCGTGCACAGAAGAAAAAGCAAAGTAATTTAATTATAAGAGATTAATGGACTTTTTGTCTTAGCTGACTGGCTGGCGTGTTTTTAGCTCACCTGTCACAAAGTGACGGGGTGAGCTTTTGTGATCGCTTTTCGTCCGGCGTCCGTCCGTCCGTAAACTTTTACTTTAAATGACATCTCCTCATAAACCACTAAGCCAATTTCATCCAAACTTCACAGAAATGTTCCTTTGGTGGTCACCTTTAAAAATTGTTCAAAGAATTTAATTCCATGCAGAACTCTGGTTGCCATGGCAACCGAAAGAAAAAACTTTAAATATCTTCTTTTAAAAAACCCAAAGAGCTAGAGCTTAGATATTTGGCATGAAACATCTTCTAGTAAGTGTCTACCAAGTTTGTTCAAATAAAAGCCCTGGGGTCAAAATTGGCCCCGCCCCAGGGGGTCATTGATTTTCCCTATATACATATAGTAAAAACTTAAAAATTCTTCTTTTAAAGAACCAATGGAGCTAGAGCTAAGATATTTAGCATGAAACATCATCTAGTAAGTGTCTACCAAGTTTGTTCAAATAAAAGCCCTGGGGTCAAAATTGGCCCCGCCCCAGGGGGTCATTGATTTTCCCTATATGCATATAGTAAAAACTTAAAAAATCTTCTTTTAAAGAACCCAAAGAGCTAGAGCTAAGATATTTAGCATGAAACATGTTCTATTGGGTGTCTACAAAGTTTGTTCAAATAAAAGCCCTGGGGTCAAAATTGGCCCCGCCCCGGGGGTCATTGATTTTCCCTATATGCATATAGTAAAAACTTAAAAAATCTTCTTTTAAAGAACCCAAAGAGCTAGAGCTAAGATATTTAGCATGAAACATGTTCTATTGGGTGTCTACAAAGTTTGTTCAAATAAAAGCCCTGGGGTCAAAATTGGCCCCGCCCCGGGGGTCATTGATTTTCCCAATATGCATATAGTAAAATCTTAAAAAATCTTCTTTTAAAGAACCCAAAGAGCTAGAGCTAAGATATTTAGCATGAAACATCTTCTAATGAGTGTCTACCAAGTTTGTTCAAATAAAAGCCCTGGGGTCAAAATTGGCCCCGCCCCAGGGGGTCATTGATTTTCCCTATATGCATATAGTAAAAACTTAAAAAATCTTCTTTTAAAGAACCCAAAGAGCTAGAGCTAAGATATTTAGCATGAAACATGTTCTATTGGGTGTCTACAAAGTTTGTTCAAATAAAAGCCCTGGGGTCAAAATTGGCCCCGCCCCGGGGGTCATTGATTTTCCATATATGCATATAGTAAAAAAATTAAAAAATCTTCTTTTAAAGAACCCAAAGAGCTAGAGCTAAGATATTTAGCATGAAACATCTTCTAATGAGTGTCTACCAAGTTTGAACAAATAAAAGCCCTGGGGTCAAAATTGGCCCCGCCCCAGGGGGTCATTGATTTTCCCAATATGCATATAGTAAAAACTTAAAAATCTTCTTTTAAAGAACCCATAGAGCTAGAGCTAAGATATTTAGCATGAAACATCTTCTAATAAGTGTCTACCAAGTTTGTTCAAATAAAAGCCCTGGGGTCAAAATTTGCCCCGCCCCAGGGGGTCATTGATTTTCCCTATATGCATATAGTAAAAACTAAAAAAAATCTTCTTTTAAAGAACCCAAATAGCTAGAGTTTAGATATTAAGCATGAAACATGTGCTAATGGGTGTCTACAAAGTTTGTTCAAGTAAAAGCCCTGGGGTCAAAATTGGCCCGGCCCCGGGGTACATTGATTTTCCTTATATGTGTATGGCAAAAACTTAATAATCTTCTTTGAAAAAACCCAAATAGCTTGAGTTTAGATATTAAGCATGAAACATCTTCTAGTAAACATCTACAAAGTTTGTTCAAATAACAGCCCTGGGGCTTAAACTGACCCCGCCCCAGAGGTGTAATTGTTTTTAACTATATGTGTATAGTTAAAACTTAAAAAATCTTCTTTTAAAAAACCCAATGAGCTAGAGGTTAGATTGCAGGAAACATCTTTTTGTGGGTGTCTACCAAGTTTGTTCAAATAAAAGCCCTTGGGTTAAAATTGGCCCTGCCAAAGGGTGGGGGGGGAGGAGGTCATTGTTTTTCATTATATGTGTGTAGTAAAAACTTAACATCATGAAACATCTTCTAATGAGTGTCTTCCAAGTTTGTTCAAATAAAAGCCCTGGGGTTTAAACTAGCCCCGCTCCGGGGGCCTAAATACAGGTGAGCGACCTCAGGGCCATCATGGCCCTCTTGTTTTTTTATGTAACAGTAAATGTTGACATTTGTTGTTATATTGTAATACTATATGATTATGACTATTAATGTAAGCATCACTCAATAATTACCCTATATTATTGTAGTGCATTATATCAATGTTTCTTTAATGTTCATGATTTAAATGTACACATGATACATGTGGACATGACTACAGTAAAACATATGTTGAATTTAAAACTATTAACTATACAAGGTACGTGTATACATATTAATTAAAGTATATACGAGCATGATATAGCCCTTGTGATATAATGAAACGCAACATTGATTTTATTAAGCATATATTAAGGATATATATTATTTCAATTCTAACACAACATCAACAAATAAATGCTGCTGTACCTGAAATCAAGCTAAATTGTGCTTGATTTGTTTCTGTACTTATTTCCAGCATGTCACAGTTTAATGAATATGTCACATGTCTAGATATAGATCTTGAACAGTGATTTTATTGCATATTTTACACACACTTTTGGTCCTTCAGTGTTCAATTGGTGAAAAATGCAGATTGTGTTAGAATTATCATAGTTATCATTATCATAATTATCATTATTCAGATGCTGAAGGATCATCTGGTTGTACATGTCCGCATCATGATGAGATCCAGAAACTGAAGCGCGCGGAGGAAGAAGAGCGGAGACGAGAAGAGGAGCAGAGACGAGAAGAGGAGCGGAAAAGAGAACGACTGAATGATATCGCGGAACAGCTAATGGATGTCATTGATAACAAGAAAACAAGCAAAAAATACAGAATGAATTATATGCCAAAAGGAGAAAAAGTTGAAGAATCAAAAAAGTTAGACGAAACCAAGAAATCGTCCCCTGAAACAAAAGAAAATGAGTGTATATCTGGGAATAAAAAGCAGAGTAAAAATGGAGAGGCAAGAAAATCTAAGGGAGTTAATCCAGAAGTAGAGCGAGCTGAAGAAGATAAACTTGCAGATGAAACGAATGAAGTTAAAGTTGTAAATGGTATTGATAAAGCTGAAAGCATTGAGGATGGAACTGAAGTAAATGGGGATGTGAAAGATGTAAGTTCGGATGAGAGAGAAAGTATACTAGCTGGAAAACTGAGAACCTGTGGTGGCTGCGAGAAAATTGAACCATCAAGAAAAGCTTTCAAGAAATGTCAGAAGTAAGTGGATTGTTTATGTCAAAACTTTCTGTTTATTTTTCAATTGATATATTATTTTTAGCTCGACTATTCGATAAGAATAAGTAGAGCTATTGCAGTCACCCGAGCGTCGGCGTCGGCTTAACCACTTATGTTAAAGTTTTTGTAATAGTTCAAATATTTTCAAAGTCCATAGACATATGGCTTTGAAACTTTGCACACTTGTTCACCATCATGACCCCAACCTGTAGAAACTCTGTCAAGCATTTTGACAGAATTATGCCCCTTTTTCGACTTAGAATTTACGTTAAAGTTTTTGTAATAGTTCAAATATTTTCAAAGTCCATTGACATATGGCTTTGAAACTTTGCACACTTGTTCACCATCATGACCCCAACCTGGAAACAGGTGGAGGTAACTCTATCAAGCATTTTGACAGAATTATGCCCCTTTTTCGACTTAGAATTTACGTTAAAGTTTTTGTAATAGTTCAAATATTTTCAAAGTCCATTGACATATGGCTTTGAAACTTTGCACACTTGTTCACCATCATGACCCCAACCTGTAAACAGGAGGAGGTAACTCTATCAAGCATTTTTTTTCTATCAAGCACTAAGAATAGTCGAGCGTTGCTGTCCTACCGATAGCTCTTTTAATGCTCACGACTTCATTTAATTTTGTTTGAAATATGAAATTTCTGAGGAAAAAATAAAATAAAACCATAATTTCGAATGATTTATTTTGAATAACAATTTATAATGTAGGTATATTGATAAAGTAGGATATACCTATCCATTGACTTGAGAGTAAAATGTGTGACGTCTGACCTTGCCTCATACCACTGGCTGCCTTAATTACCAACTTTGTGTTGTAATCCCTTATATTTGTAATGGACACTTCCGCATCCTTAGTGGGATAAGTTTAGCAGGTTAAGGGTTAATTGTTATGACAGTTATCTTACAATGTTTGATTTTGTTTTAGATGCAAAGATGAAGGTGTTCTTGAAGTGAGATACTATTGTAGCAGGGACTGCCAAGGTAAATACCTTAGATCAAAGCTAAGTGCAAAGATTAAAATGATTTTTGGGTGTCCGTAGGCCAAGTGGGCAAGGTTCTTGACTTCAAACCACTTGCCCCTCACTGTTGTTGGTTCGAATTCTTAGGGACTTTGAGTTCTTTCATGTGGTGAAGCTATCCAGCAAACTCACAGAACATTGGTTGTTCTACTCAGGTATCCGTTTGTGTCTGAAATATTGTGTCTGAAATTATGAACAGAAGGGCACCCAAGGTCTTCCTCCACTAGTAAAGCTGGTTTTAATGGTGGAGGAATTTTACACATCTTAAAATTTTAATTTAAAAGTTAAAGTTTACTCATCTTTATTTGTCAAAGGTTACGTAGAAATAAAAAATGTTTAGACATTGAGATAAATGCAAGAAGTTCATTACTTTAATAAAGGGACACAAGATACATTTGACCAGATTTGCAACTTTTTACCCAAACATCTGCTCTAAGCCAACTGGATAAGCACATTTTATACCATCTGATTTGACATTCATTTGTTTTAGTCCAAAATGTTAATGCCTGGCTAAAACATCAGTTTGCTGGTCAAAAAACTTAATTCTAAATTAACCAAACTTCTGCAGGATTCACAACTGTATGAAATCATCGCATCACCATCATCATCACAAACACCTTCACCAGATATCTAAATATGACAATCAGGGACAACCAAGATTTTGTTTTAAATATTAATTCATATAAATGGTAATGATGATTCTTTCAGTTTTCTTAAATTGAGTCTGTTAATTAATGGGTATGTTAACAACATTTATATTTTCAGTGGAGGATTGGAAGAAGAAACATAAAATGGAACATAGAGACGGTCTTCTTGGATAAATACCAGCACTGAATTGACTCATAATAATACTTCTATTTTAATCACTTTGTGACAAGAAAAAATGTGTCTGTGGAACGTTTTTATTATTAAACTTAGAACATTTTCCTCATTATTGAATTGTACAAAAATAAAGTTGATCTTTGTGTGATGTGAGTGTGATTCTGTATAAAAAAAAGGAAACTGTCATGCTGAAGAATTTATGTTTACAATTAGATGATTTATTTGCATCATTATTTTAGAAAAAAATATATTTGTGTTTTGATGCTTTAGTGCACGTTCTTACAGAAATTGGTGTCATGCACAGTTAGTCATGGTTAAATGAAAGCTATGTCCTTCAACAAAAAAAAAAAAGTGTTGAAATAATGATCCAGTAGATGTGACAAAAGGAAATGAAGTGATCATCTTGCATAAACTGTTATGGCCCTTGTTTAAACTTATAGAGTTCTGTCCCTTATTTATACATTTGAACTTATGTTCCTTATATAAACAGGAGTTTTGACCTTTGTTAAATCAATGATCTTATCTTTACATTTATTGATTATAGTTTAGTGCAGTGCATTCTTTAAATGTTTTAAGATATATTTGTCTTGTGTACTTATACAGAGAATATTTTATTTTTTTGTTATACTGCAGAAAACAGAATTACAATATTTTAGTTTAAATGATTTCTTTTTCTGCTCTTTCTCCAGTTTTATGATATTTCATCAGAAACTCACCATGTACAGTAGATTGTAGATAAGCAGTCTGGTGACAGGATTCAATTCATATTGTTTACGATTATATACCAGTTGATAACATTTTTTCAGATTTTATATTTTTTTAATCCGTAATCTTTAAATTTTAGAATACAAGCAAAATGTGCATGTTGAGTAGATAGCTCACATTATTTTATAGCATGCTTTTAAAGCTGTGCAGTGTTATAATGGTTTGGGTAAAAGTTTTATACTACTTTATACTATGACTTTGACTAAACAAACACTGATGTTTATGTAAATAGTTTGGGTGTGGTTTTTTTTCATCTCTTAGCTCTATAATTCTGGGAAAAGTTTACAGAAAATTTTTATATAAATGAGTTATATCAGAGAACAGAAAGCTCTTAAATGAGACAAAACTATTGTAATTTCTCATAAAAACAGTGTATGTTAAAAATAAAATTGAAGTTTTCAATATTGGATATTGCTGATTAAGATCTTTTTTTTTCAATTTGAAAATAGGAAGAACAAATAATTTAAGTATCTAGTGAGAAAAAAATGTTATCGAGTGATAATATTTATAGTACATGATTTTATACATATCAACTCAATATGTTATGCAGGGAATTTTGTTATATTTATGTAGTTTTATTGTTTATGTGTATATATTATAAGTGTTTTATAATTGATCATTTGTTTTATATATTGTTTGTTTATTCTTATGAAACATTATTATTTTCATTTGGTTATTTGGTTATATATCGAATATATCTGGTTTGCTTGTATTTTGTTGGTCAAACGTTAGATTTATGATAAAGAAAATTCCCCGAAAATGAGTTCTTCAGCTTAAATATATTCGTTAAGTTGACGAGGAAAACTTAGTCTCTAATCATAACATATATTTAAAATTAGATATCATCACATAGTTAATTAAAGGAATGAATTACATGTAACATCATGTACACAATGTATGACCAGGTCAATCAAAGGAATGTTGAACATTTGATTCTTTTACACATAAATTAATGTAACATATTTTATTGTCTACTGTCTATAAATATATATTTTATGCTTCAGTTAGTTTTATGTACAAGTGGTTGCTTGCAAAATAAAAGAATTTCTTCCATTTACTTGTTTGTGTTCAATATTTTGAAATAGATAAATGAGCCCCGTCATGACAAAACCAACATAATGCATTTGCGACCAGCATGGATCCAGACCAGCCTGCGCATCCGCGCAGTCTGATCAGGATCCATGATGTTCGCTATCAGATTCTCTACTTTTTTTAGGGTTTATTAGCGAACAGCATGGATCCTGATCAGAATGCGCGGATGCGCATGCTGGTCGCAAACGCATTATGTTGGTTTTGTCACGACACGGCTCAAATACCTTAAGCATTAGTGGAGATAATAACAGTTCCCATTATACTCGTGGGGTGTCCAGAGGCTATACATTTGAGCCGCGTCACGACAAAACCAACATAATGCGTTTGCGACCAGCATGGATCCAGAACAACCTGTGCAGACTGATCAAGATCCATGCTGTTCGCTGTCAGTTTCTCCACTTGTAATAGAGTTGGTAAGCGAACAGCATGGATCCTGATCAGACTGCGCAGATACGCAGGCTGGTCTGGATCCATGCTGGTCGCAAACCCATTATGTTGGTTTTGTCGTGACGCAGCTCATTTGGAGTTTAGATTATAATGCATATCTGTCACCTGTGAATGGTTTTCATGTTTCTTGATCACTTTTTGAGAGAACATTTAAACGATATTTCATATCTAAAAGGAGCGTTTGTCAAAAAAGTTTTAGGACAAAATCTTAATGAAATACACAGTAGTTGTTATTGTTTTATGATTTGTTGTCTTTGTATATATTGTTTAGAAGGCCACCTTTAGAATAAAGATATGTTATTTGTTTCCCACGATGGCATTTCTTCATTTGTTACCTTCTTTAAATAAAGATCTTATTTTTTTATTTTGAAGTTCACTTTAAAAGCGTGTCGTGGCCGATTCCTTGATTGTGAACAAATGTAATTGTCCCCCGCCTTTTCGAAGAAAAAAGGGGGATATAGAAATAGGCTCTGTCCGGTCGAATATCCAATGGTCTATGAGCTTCATTCCATCCATAACTTTAGTTAAAATAAGGAAGAAATCCTATAAACCGACCGGTTTATTTGGTAATTTTTACTGGTTAAACATAAAGATCAAAGAAAAAGCACATAAACCTCAAATGTTGGCACGTCTGTCTGTCCGTTTATCACACTCTTGTCCGGTCCATAACGTTGTCATTTATCATAGGAATTTAAAATAACTTGGCACAAATGACCCCTACCGCCAGAGTCAAGGTCGCACTTGCTCATTCAAGGTTAACATTGTCTATTTGAGGGTCCGGTCAATAACTTTCTTAATTTTGAAGGGCTTTTGTAAATACTTGCCACAATTGTTCACAATAATGAGACAATGTGTCATGCGCAAAAACAGGTATTCTACCTCCAAGGTCAAGGTCACACTTGGAAGTCGAAGATTAACATAGTCTGTTATAGAGTTTATTATGTGTCCGGTCCATAACATTTTCATAGGTCAAAGCATTTTGAAAATACTTGGCACAAATAGTCACTATAATAAGACGATGTGTCTTGCGCAACACCTGCAGCCTTACCTCCAAGGTCAAGGTCACACTTAGAGTTAAAAAATTAACATAGTCTGTTATAGGGTATATTTTGTGTCCGATCTAGAACCTCTTCATTGTTCAAGGGATTTTAAAATTACTTGGCACAAATAGTCACAATTATTAGACAATATGTCAAGTAAAACACCTGCACCCCTACCTCCAAGGTCAAGGTCACACTTAGAGGTCAAATGTTAACAGAGTCTGTTACATTGTATATTTTGTGTCCCGTCCATAATTTCTTCATAGATCAAGAGATTTTGAAAATACTTTGCACAAGTTGTCACAATGATAAGATGATATGTCATGCGTAACACGTGTCCCTACCTCCAAGGTCAAGGTCACACTTAAGAGGTCAAAGATTTACATAGTCTGTTATAGGGTATATTTTGTGTCCAGTCTATAACTTTTTCATAGTTCAAGGGATTTTAAAAATACTTTGCACAAATAATCAGAATAATTAGACGATATGTCATTTTAAAAAATACTTTGCACAAATAATCAGAATAATTAGACGATATGTCATTTTAAAAAATACTTTGCACAAATAATCAGATTAATAAGACGATATGTCTTTTTAAAAATACTTTGCCGAATAAACAGAATAATAAGACGATATGTCAGGGGCAAAACATGGGTCCCTACCTCCAAGATCACATTTAGATGTCAAAGATTAACATAGTCTGTTAGAGGGTATATTTTGTGTCCGATATATAACTTCTTCATAGTTCAAGGGATTTTAAAAATACTTTGCACAAATAGTTACAATAATAAGATGATCTGTCATGCACAACACCTGCACCCCTACCTCCAAGGTCAAGGTCACACTTAGAGGCCAAAGCTTAACATGATAGATATTTAAATTCCGTGTTTCGTTTTATTTCTTTAATAAATGTATTGTTGCATTTGCAGGTCTATCATTGATCATAATTTTGGACTGAAAGTCCTGAGATCCATACCTCAATCTTTTGAAATAGCACAATTTTATGCTTCATATAAAACTTCCCGGAGGCGGGGGGCATTGGTAACGCTGTTACAAATTCTTGTTAAGTGTAAATGTAGTTTAAACATACAGACAAAGCTGCGTAAAGCCATGTATCGTTTAAAGAATCGAAATAAAATAAATAATATAGTATATACTTGTATATCAATCAATAAGTCAGGCCGATATTTTGCTGAATCACTGAAAAATCTTACCACTGAACCTGATCTTTGTCTATTAAAATGAAATGATGTTGACAGTCTTTTAATAGCTATATACTTGCCATGTAAGTTGTCAAAATAAAACCGTTGTATCTTTATGAAAATTCCATCCTTTAGCAGTAATCATAACCATTTATTAATATTTGTTGTTCTGTTTTTGTGGAACATTTTTATGTTAAGACGGCTTCATTCTATATATACATAAACTTAAAACAAATCAAAAACTATTTGTGTACATTTATTTATTAGAAATAGCAAAAAGAAAACAGTACATATTTACAATGGCATGTTTTTTTGAAAATTTAACAAGTGTATTTATAATAACATGTAACTTTGAACGAACACAGCTAAAAACTAGAAATGTGTCCATAGGATGCCCCCACACGCCACTGTTCTGTCAATCTTATGACTCTAGGTCAAATATTTTTTGGACTACATGTGCCACAAGTTGAAAACTAAAAATCAACAAAGGGCCATAATTCTGTTAAATTTGGTCGCAGCAAAATTCCTTCCTTTACTACCATCTACACATTAAGGTTGTTGTTCATCCCTGGAAGTTTAAGCAAAACCTGCCATCCGGTTTAAGAGGAGTTCCGTTCACAAAATTTCTACATAGTATATAGTGAAAAAATCAAAGAAGGGCCAAAATTCTGTTAAATTTGGTCGCAGCGAAAATTCCTTCCTTTACTACCATCTTCACATTAAGGTTGTTCATCCCTGGAAGTTAAAGCAAAATCTGCTATCCGGTTTAAGAGGAGTTGCGTTCACAAGATTTCGGGACGTACGGACAGACGTACAGACGGACAAGTGCAACGCTATATGCTCCCACTTTGTGGGGGCAAAAAAAATTCAAAGTCACAGCCATCATTCCGTTCATAATACTTGAGTTATTATGCAAATTTACGATCAAACTCATTCTTTTATTAATATAAATAGATCTATTTGTTTACTAATTAGGAAATGTCTTAAAATATGGAATACGTATTCAGATCACAATCGTATGATATACGCAGGAATTTTATTGCTCACCACTGAAAACATAAATGCATATATAGAACAGTTGACAATAAAAGTTCACCGGAAAACTGACAATTTTACGGTGGGGAGTGCTTGCTTCTGGTAAGCAGATATATCATTGAATATGTAAAGGCAGTATTGTTTGAAACGATGGTTATTGCTAAAGAAAACCTGCAGACGTCAAAAAACAATGGTATGTTACGAGTATGTATTTGCAATGCGCTTACAGAAAGTGAAAGTGTGATAAGAAGTACAAATCTAATTCTGGGCAACAAAAACCTGCGTCACAAGGGAACATACTGGTCTGCTCTATAATGAAAACAGTTTTCATACCTTATGAAAAACGTTGGGTTTAAATTGACATTATTTATAGACATGATATGTTGACTTGCATTTTTCAACATATTCATAAACTTATTTTGTTGAAGATTTTGCTCTAGTAACACGAGCATTAATTCACAAAACAATGGCACTTAATGTCGTTTTTTCTGTGTATACCCCGGTAACTTATTAAGCGTTGTGTCAGATGACGCTTTACCACCAGCAATGAAAGCTTTACTCTTTGGAGGTGTACTTTTTGTTTCAGTTATTCTTCTGGTGTCCTTTTTACTTCCAGCTTTACCTCCCATACCCGTAGATATTGTTTGCACAGCGGCTGAGATTTCGGCTAACATAAGGTTTTGATGTTTCATTCCTGAATGTATTGTTTCTTGGTCGTTATGGAATCTGTCACGAGTATTGGTAAGGTCTAGCTTAATTCTTTTGTATTGCGTGTCTATAAGTGTCTTTAAACTGGCAATTTCTTGTTCTTTCTCTGCTATAGTTGATTTTAACTTTATCGATCTCATTTCCAAAGCAACTTTCTCTCGTTTTATTGAGTCATTCTCTAGTTTAAGCGCCTCTATTTCAGAATGAAGTCCTTGCATTTTTGCTGCTTCGATTTTAAGTTGTGTGTTTTCTTCTCTTAACGACATAATCTTTTCTTGTTGGCTATTCATCTCCTGTTGCATGGTTTTCTGGAGGTCCTTCAGACACCGTCACATTCTTGAGATATCTTAGTGAGTTGTGATAAATCACGTCTTAATGTGGCAATGATTTCCTCGTGATGTCTTTTATCTCTCTCAAGTCTTCTTTCAATTTCTTCTCTCATGTCTCTTTTAATCATTCTTTCTCGTTTCTCAAACTTGGTGTTAACTAGAGACGCTAATGTTTCCAAATCGTGACCGCTTGTGAACTCGCACTCCGACGCTCCATCTGCACTCCCCGTCTTCAAAAATAAATAAAATTTTTATTACAAGTCAATTTAATATATAAATATACTGCTTTGCATTTGGCTCAAAGTATGTCTTAAAAGCACGTTTCTGAATATAGGAAATGAACTGACTGGAATGACTAAATTCTTCCTTTAAATATCCGAATAAGCATAACTGTCGAATAAAATAGAGAGACAATTCTAAATATTGATCTCTGCTGTCATTTGATTTAGTTCTTGTGCAAGATCATATAATTATGCTAGTATTTGAAATGAGTATTTGTAACTATCCACTGATTTCATATAATGACATAACGTTTTAAAATTTATTAGTTTCGTTCTTTATATAAGAAGTCTTAAAGGGAATACACTGAGGGTTTTTTTACATGACGGCACTGGATGTATATTTCTGAGATTTTTGTATTAATTCACGTTATTCTGAACTCAAAACTAGCTTGCAAATTTCCAGAATTGTTTTTCAGAATGAGCGTTTATAGTGTGCCAAATGATCCAAAAATGAAGTGTTCCCTCAAATCCGGATTAGAATTGCACAAAAATTGATTGTTTTTAAATTATGAATATATTTCTTTATTATTCTTTACAGATATAACCATTTTATGTGATTCACTTGATATTTGTAGGTTCTCAAATTTTATGTCGTTTGGCATTTAAACCTCAGTGGAGTCACTTTAAATTCAATATTGACGTAATAAGATATTTATAGACTTAAACCCATTACATATTGTTTGATATTCATCTAATATCCCATGCCTCAGGAGTCAATAACGTTATGTCATTATAGGAATGAATTTCACATTGTTACATGTGATTCTATTATTCGCATGGGTTATCAAAAGTTAATCATTTATCTATTATACACTGAAAACTTTTGATTTTGTATTCAACCAATCTCGTTAATTGTTAGTATATTGTCAACAATTAAAAAGAATAAATCAAGATACAATTCTCATAGTGTAACATTATCATTAATTTCAAATTAACCCTTGTCAGATGTTTCTATTATAAGGGTATTATCACTTATAGCATTTTGTTTGAAGTAAATTGCTTCACCTCAGAATGCTGATAATATAATCTTATTGTCCTGTTTTTAGTTTAGTATTTTTATTTCCAAGTATATCCTTTGTTGACGTTGTACTCAATATTTATTGATTCAGAGAATATATATTGTTGTTGTTGTTGTTGTTGTTGCTGCTGCTGCTGCTGCTGCTGCTGCTGTGGTAGATAATGTTGATAATGATGTGGTTGTTGTTGCTACTGCTGCTATTGTTGGTTGTTGCTGTTGTTGTTGGTTTATACAGAACTTATTTTAGTTTGATTGTGTTTGAAGCTGCTGTTGTTGTTGTTGTTGTTGTTGTTGTTGTTGTTGTTGTTGTTGTCAAAAATCATGAATATTTGATGCTAGATATAATTAACATATAAGAAAAACTTTCATTTTTAAAATCAAACCGAAGTAACGTAATACAATTACAAAAACAAAACAATATTTCAGATAAAGCCTCCCCATATTGTATTGTGTTGTAAAACTTAAACCGACTTTGGATACCAGAAGCTCTTGTCACACAAAAAAAAATTATGATAAATTCCTATCGTAAGAGAAATTATACGATAAATTTTGTATCTTTTGTGAAAATAATTCCAGAAGCTTACAGAAAATTCGACAACTGTCACAAGTGAACATTACGGTATCACGACTTACCGAAATACCGAAACACTACCGAAATACCGGAATACCCGATAATAGATATAAGATAGCCGAAATACCCATTAATGATAGATTAAAGGAGCCGAAATACTCCCGATACTTTTTTCGGGCCGGAATGCCACAGGTTTTTACCAAAATATCATCTAATTACTGCTTTGAAATCGAAAGCAGAAATTAGGGCACATTTATTCAACGACACTAAAGAATCAAATGCGACCGCAACAGAGTTATGATATACAAATTGCAATAACGTTGATTTGTAAGTAATTAAAATGTCTTTAAAATTGGTATATGTGAATAACCTTTTTATGTCACAGATTGTTTGGAATCATTAGAAAACAGAAGGTTGAAAAGAATTCTATCGCTAAAAAAAACGAAATAAAAAAATCCGGCTCTTTTAACTCAGTTATACATGTACATTTTTTTCTTTCTGTTTCATTGTGTATGTTGTGGATTTCATGCCGAGTAATTATAATTAATAATTATTAATTGAGTAATTATTGATTTATTACACCTCATTACTACCAGGTATTTCGGCTTTCTTATATTTGTTATCTGGTATTCCGGGGGTATTCCGGTTTTTTCGGTAGTGTTTCGGTATTTCGGTTAGCCGTGAACATTATATGTATATTTTGCGGGTGAAGGGCTACTACTCCGTACATATTACAATTGATGATGAATTTGATTCCGGAACTCTCTTAAATTTGGTGTTTGTATTTGTGATAATTTATTTTTGTGTGTTGAGGATTAAGAAGATCTATTGATCAATGGTAGATTTTAGACATGCTTGCTGATTTTTACTGTATCGATCCTTACCGTTTGTATTGACTACTGGTAGAGTGATTTATCCACGTGTGTGGTGATGCTTCTACAAACTATTTGAGCCGCTTCACGACAAAACCAACATAATGCGTTTGCGACCAGCATGGATCCAGACCAACCTGCGCATCTGCGCAGTCTGATCAGGATCCATGCTGTTCGCTATCAGTTTCTCTTCTTGTTATAGGGTTTGTAAGCGAACAGCATGGATCCTGATCAGACTGCGCGGATGCGCAGGCTGGTCTGGATCCATGCTGGTCGCAAACCCATTATGTTGGTTTTGTCATGACACGGCTCATTTAGAGTTGAAACATTTCCCAATAGGACAATTTGTTACGAGTAAATATTTGTTAGAAGCGTGAAGTTGTCAGTTTGCGATTACACCTCTGTGACATTCGATGTTTAACGTTCAATAAGTTTATTTTAAAGAACAAAGCATGCTCAAACTGGAAAGGAGTACAGAACGAACTTCTGTAGAAATGCATGATAAATTATTAATCGAATGTACGGTTTATATGCTAAGTATCGTAAATACTGTTTAATGTGATAACCGCCGCATGTACACTTATGCGTAATTTTCAAAATTTCACCATTTTCGCGTTAAAATGTCGAATTCTGCTTAAGCCGGTGCTAGGGGGGCATTAACTAGCACTTTCCAGTACCATCCATGAACATGCTCAATCGAACCGAGAGTGCAACGTTTTAAATTTTGCCGTTTTAGGCGTTATTTAGGTATTCCGGTCTTCTCTATTTAATTTGCACAAGAAGGAAGTTTCTGTTGAGTGTTGAGTGATCAGTTGTGAGACCAAATAATGACTCAATCAAATCGAGCTAGTATTTATAGTCAATCAATCAATCAATCAATCAATCAATCAATCTTTATTTAGCAATCGGCATAAATATGCTTTGGCCATTTACAAGTAAATAATTATAGAATATGGCCAAGACAAAATAACATATCAATGTACAATAATAATTCAAATGCATATGATTAATCAAACACATAACATATAAACATTACAATACAATGAAAATAAATCTACAATTAAGCACTGTTTGTCTGTTAAAATTCATTTTGCTCAATAGCCAGTGTTCTTACTTTAAATGCCTCTTTAATATAAGTTGCTAATTTTACTTGAATAGTTTTATTATTATTATTCATTAATGAAACAAATTTATTAAGTGAAGGCCAAGATGTATAATATTTTGGAAGTAAATCTTTAGTAATGTACAGTAATGTTGTCTTTTTTTTGCCAATGAATCATGAGAGTTACATGATTTCCCATAAGTGTAATAAATTAAAATTAACTACGCTATAAAAAGTGAATATTCTACGTAGTCATGCCGATTTCTTTGATTATACAAATCAAATGATGTAAATCTTGTAGCTCTCTGTAAACATTCATTAAATAATAAATGATACGGCAGCAACTGGTATGTTTTCGGATCATCAACATAAAACCACAGCTAGGTGTTACTCACCCTTCTACTCGGCACAACAAACGTTTTACTTCTTTCCTCCACAAAACTTCCACTCGAGTCGAGTAAACCTACAAAAAAAAACATTTTATTCCAACTTTATCATAATTAACATGAATATTATTTCAGACAAAGATTAACTTGTTGTTGTTGTTGTTGTGGGGTTTTGTTGTTGATTAACAGCTATTTTATTGTTTCTTTCGAACATTTTTTCCTGTTTTAGTGTGCAAAATTAAAAACCATATGAAATAGAAGCGTCAGGCAACATATTTTAACATTTGAGTGCAAATTTATCTCAGAATGCATTATATGGTTTTAATTTGCACATTTTATGTTGATTTTAATGAAATATTTAAGTTGAATCATCTGGTTACATTATTGAAATTAATCACATGATTTAACACCAAAAACTCTTGATAACTCTTTTAAAGTATTTATTTTTGGAAATGCAATTTGTGAAAGTAAATGTTCAATAATGCTTACTTGATAACCTTGGACTTCGTGCCATCCTGTCCCATCAGTAATTTGTAAATCTGTAACAATTTTTTTAAATATTTAATCGAACTAGTGTTGTAGAATTGCATAAATTTTTGTAAAAGGTGCCGATGTGGTAAAAACGACACTGCTTATGCCTAGGTCACAAATAAAACGGGCGCCGTCCGATTTTTTGATGTCGTGGACGCCGGGCGATTTTAAATCCGATACATTGCGTGGTCATGAATGAAACAGTCGTCGGGCGATTTTTGCCGAATGGATTTTACAGAAAGAATTGAACTGATCGGGCGGTCGCCGCCTGATGTCCGTACGGCGCCTGTGCGATTTAAAAGTGAATCGGACGGTTGCCGCGCGGGCGCCGGGCGACAATGACTTTACATTTAATGACATCCTTTATAAATCAGCCAGTTGTAATTATGCCAGCAAAGAAGTCAGCTGCCAAAGCCAAGGGGAAGGCCAAGGAGATGGTCCGTGTTGTTGACACCGAGTCACCAACGGCCAGTATCGAGGCCGTAGAAGGCGAAAATCAGTCAGACATTCGCATGGACATTGAAGAAAAAAATCATGTTTTCTAGTATTCAAAAGAAATTCACAAATATAATTTTGAGGCAAATTACAACGTCTTCAAGCTGAAATTACAACAAACATAAGCAGCCCGGTCGCCGGATGACAAAGCGATGACCGCCCGATGCCTGTACATGAATCGTCCGGGTACCGGGCGATAATCGTTTGACTACTTGTCTCTATTCAGGCACCGGGCGGGGCCCGGCCGATGTCCGCCCGGACGCCTTTTAAATCGGACGGTGTTTTAGTAGAACTAGAAATCGCCCGATCAAAAAATCATCGCCCGGTCGCCGCCCGGCGACCGAGCGATGTCCGCTCGACGATATTTATACCCAGTGACCCCAAAAATTATCGTCCGGCCGCCGTTAGCTTTTAAGTATTACTTAAAACTCGAAGGCGCCCGCCCGATGAGCAAAATTTTCAGCTGCTGCCGTCCGATAGTCACTGCCGCCGGACGGACGACGGCCGATATTGCGATTTTTTGGAGAAACAGACGCCGCCCGGCGGCATTTTCTTATTTGTGACCTAGGCTTTACGATTCGAGCATATACCAAAGAAGAAAAATGGAAAAGAAGTAGACATAAGATTCTGGGATTTTAATGTGTTATACATGTATTTACTGGCGATCATGTTATTCAAAATCGCGAGTCATTTAGTTTATCTTAAAATTTTGTTTGTTTGTTTGTTTCATTTTACGCCTTTTTTCAACAGTATTTCAGTCAAATAGGCGGGTAGTTTCCTAACCATCGTTCCTGGAGAGTTACACCAGTACTAGACTACCTTCCTCCGGACATTTATTTTACAAACATGTGTACATGTACTTATGATATATTTCTGAAAATATATTTTGTTTAAATAATATTTATTTTATTTGTAATCTTTACATTTATATAATAAAGTACAAATAAATTTTACGGACTGAGTAGGAAGATTGAAAACCTTTTTTAAAAAAAAAACAACAAAAAAACTCTCTCCGTTATCAGTATTTTCACAAATTTTATATAAATGGTGACAAAATATACAAAATATACAATTTGAAAACCAAACTATACATATCATATCCACTTGTGCTTGCTTTCTTACGTATATAATAAGTATTCATCAACTAAATTCAAGATTTATAACTGTTCGATTTTCAGCATGAATAAGATTTTTTTTAGATATTATGCATTGCTAAGTTTAGCGTTTAATCTGTTAAAAAAAACCAATGATTAGAGCATGTGGAATGAAGAAGTATGAAAAATGACAAAAAAGGAAGAAAAGGAAAAAGAAAAAGAAAAAAATCAATGTACTACTATGGAGAAAATATATTTGAGTTTCATAATAACCTTGTTGCTATATTCGAGTATCCTTATACAAAACAATATCACGGAAACAATTTATCCATTTGCCGCCATTTTTAAGTAAATATTTTTCATGTAATGTTTCTGAAAAATGTTTTTAAAAAAACACTGTTCTTTTTTCTTTTATTAATCTTCAATATATCTTCTCCAACAAAGCATTTAACAATTTAGCATCTAGATCATCCCATTGGTATTTCTTCCTTGTGTTTATATTCCATGGCTTTAATTATAATCTTATGAACTGAATAAGAGAAAAATGTATCAGTTTATTACAAACCTACGTCAGTAACAATCAAACAGAATCTATTAAATGTGCTAGCCACACAATGTTTACACCAATCATAGTGATATTGGCTTCGTACCCATAGATCACTGTTCCGTATAACTACACGAAAACTCCATGCAAATTTAATGATGATGGAATAAGTAAAGCCCCGAAGGATTTAAATCTAGATGGGTGAGATGTTAACATTTATTATTCATGGAGGAAATTGGTAAAGGTAGAAATTCAGGAAATTCAATGCGCATGACATTCAGTTTTCATATTCACGTCACCGTTAAAGTTACGTTGGGGCTAGTGGTCAATATGATTCTTCTTCTTTTTTGCTTAAATAAAGTAAAATATATATCATTTATGGCCGGGTTGCACATGTGCAAACCCGGGTTCTAGTATGGTGAATGATGGGCGGCGGGCTGGCGGCGGGCGGGCCGGGAAAATTTTCGTAACAGTTTTCTCAGCAACTACTTATCACAGCCTCTTGATATTTAGCATACAGCATTGACACATGGTCCCATACTGTGGGATTCGATTTCAGGTCTGTCGCTCATCCACTTCCTGTTTACCGACTTAGTTAAATTTTCGACATTAATGGTCAATGGTAGGAAATTTTCGTAACAGTTTTCTCAGCAAAGTTCTACTTATTACAGCCTCTTGATATTTGGCACACAGCATTAACACGTGGTCCCATACTGTGGGATTCGATTTCAGGTCTGTCGCTCATCCACTTCCTGTTTACCAACTTAGTTAAATTTTCGACATTAATGGCCAATGAAAGGAACTTTTCGTAACAGTTTTCTCAGCAACTACTTATCACAGCCTCTTGATATTTGGCATACAGCATTGGCATGTAGTCCCATATAGTGGGATTTGATTTCAGGTGTGTCACTCATCCATTTCCTGTTTACCGACTTAGTTAAATTTTGACATTAATGGTCAATGATTGGAAATTTTCGTAACAGTTTTCTCAGCAATTACTGATCACAGTCTCTTGATATTTTGCATACAGCATTAACTAGTGGTCCCATACCGTGGGATTTAATTTCAGGTCTGTTGCTCATCCACTTCCTGTTTACCGACTTAGTTAAATTTTCGACATTAATGGTCAATGGTAAACATTTTTTGTAACATCACAGCCTCATGATATTTGGTATACAAATGCAACCCGGCCTTTTCTGTCTTTGACCCATTTTTTTCTCTTAACATTGTTAATAGCATTTCTTTAGTTTATTTCAAACAAATTACACAAATATAAATGGTCACCTATAAGATACAAACATAAATTGTTGAAAAAGGATTGAGCCCAAAACCTAAGTTTAAAAAGACCTTCTTTTTATCAGGTACCTTATGACAGTCTACGTGACTGTCTTGAGTTTTTTTGTGTTTGCAATTCTTTGTTCTTTGCACATTTTTTCATTTGATTACATTTGATTTTGCATGTTTACATGATTATGTAGTTAATGGCTTAAGTATTTTCAGATTTAATATTGGCAAAACAATATTTTACATTAAAGTAGAGAAAAACAGAATCCCTAAAGAAAAAACCAACAAGATGACATAAACATCTGTTTGCAATTAATGTGTATTGTGTATTTGTATTTTAACTTGTTAATTGTTTTTTAACCAATTTTCACAATATATTAATAGTACTCTCGGTTCTTATTCTTCCAACGTTTCGGTGCTCGTCGATTGTCTGGACTCTAATCCTGTGTGAATCTCTGATTTGTCAGAAATAGAATAGAATAGCACAATGTATTGCTATAAATTGCTTAACAAAACATATTTTTGGATTCTTAAAATTTCTTTTTACACCACAATAATTTGTAACAAAGTGCTCCATCTTACCCTACTTGCTGCTCCGTCTCCTAAATTATCAGAATCACACATTTTTATTCTAAATGTTCACACTAAATCTAGACACCCCTGAATTTACTGTCAACATATCTTAACTTTACTCAAATCCCACAACATAAATGTGACCATTGAGTATTTGATTCCGTTCCAAAACATTTGAACTCCATTCATTAAATCTATTGATATTTTCTCAAGATTAAGTTTGGATACTTTAACCCAGTGTTGAATTGCATGTCTAATTTCAGAATACTAATAATACACGCCTACTAGACAGTGGCTATTTCACATCTGTTTAAATGAGAGCCCTCGACACTTCCGTTGTAGAGCCATCGACCAAAACAAGGCTGAAAAAGGTAAACACAATTTCCAAAAATATCCGATTTAAAAGAACATGCTTGTTTTTCAAAGATCGAAGAATGCAATGCCACGTAGAATATTTTTCTCATCATTTGGGATGCAATTTTAATACCCAATACCCCAAAATGACAGTGCTAAAACTTTTACCAAATATCAAGTCGTTAGTTTTCTTTCGCTAGGAGACACATCTTGAGTGTTTTCTGTACAATAATGTTAATGTTGATCCATACAATCTTGGCATGTTACAGTGTGCCTACATCACCTTTGGCTAAACACACAAAAAAATCAAAGAGAGGTTAAAAATAAAATACTTATATTTATTCAAATGCGATCCAGCCATCAACACGGTGCTGGCGCCATGGTAATGCGAAAGAGCTCTAGCAAATGCACACCGTATTACCGGCGGCAGTGATGGCAGATCACTGCAGTGATGGCAGATATCTGAAAATTACCGATCGATACAGGTAGGTTATAAATTTGGTTGGTTTAATTATATTACACAAATACGGCCCATTTCATTGCTATAAAACTATTGCCCATTGAATGGAGATACTGTAAGGTAATTTTGGACTCGTTTTTTTCCTGTTTTCAGACTATTTTGAGCAGGTTAAAAGTGAAAGCCTTAGAAAAATCCGTGAAAATGTCTGTTTTCTGTTCAAAATATCTCAAGTTTTAAGTAAATGGCAGGATTTCCTGTTATCAATATAGACGTTCATCCATTGGGGTCACGCAAGCCAAATATCTACCCCGTGAGTCTTTTCTTGAAAGTTTTTACAGACGCTCAATCTTGTCCGGTCGAAGAAAAAATGCTGCCGTTGTAGGCAGATACATATTATAAATGCTGCCGTCGATGGCAGAAATACCACGAAAGTGGCTAACATTCTGACAGAAAATCAAGTTCAATCTTTTATCAATTCCTCTTTTCTTTGCGTCCTATTAGTCAGAATTGAGACGTTAAACTATCATTTCTAATATTTTCTCAAGATAGAAAAGTTATTAACCCATTACCCCATGAGCATCTTGTGAAAAATGGCTGTTTTCATTTTAAGGTCTCCCGTTACAAGTTCAAGTTGCTATAAAACTATAAAAACTGCTTCAATACTAATCAAACTTGGCACAAATGTTGACTGGACCATTGCCTTTGTAACAACATGTTCAGCATGAAATTTCCTGTTACCATAGCAACTAGGGGACATCTCAAAATTGCCAAAAATCACTATTTTGCGTTGATTTTTTCCATCAAGATTGATTTCAAAGTGCTGCCACTTCTCAATGGATTGAGATAGAGTCAAAGGCTTTTCAGCATTGGTTACACGTTACCTTATGATCGACCTGGGGCCATTTTTAGCCTCCCACAAGTCCAAAGTTTTCTTGGCGATGAGGGGGACTCAGCCCCCTTCAAACCCCCCAAACAGAAGGGGGCACATCCCCCTTCTGGCAACCCCCTGATGTATCTTTTGGATGGGGTGGGGGGGGCGCGCCGAAAAAGTGGTCAATTTTTTAAACAACATTTATCTCATACAAAAACAAGTGTTTGGGGGCCTAAATAAGGCATTTTTTTTCACCATTTGAGAATGCAAAAAGGAGGGGGGGTGTGAAAAAGACGTAGAAAGTCGTTATATATCTGGTAATGGGTTAACAGAAAATGATGAAAAAAACGAAATTACCCAAACGAGTTTTTCCATGTTAAAACATGGCCTCACATATAATTTTGAAGAAAAATTGCTGTTTTGTAGATTTTTTTTATTTTTTTTCATTAATGCGGTATGTGCATCGAAAAAAAGCTTATTAGCAACATGCAGTTACAATACAAAAAGTTATGATTTAGTACCCACAAAAATTTCACTATAAATTAGAGAAATGAACATGAAAAAACTTCATTTTTTCTTATATTCATGCATGTGTGCTTTGATCTGTTGTGTCTGTCAGTTACATGCATACAATACTATATGTATCTTAAGTTTAGCAGCGACTCCCTTTTTAAGACATAACGCCAATTGCATATAACAGCAAGTAAAACTTCTGTAAGTGGATATTCATTTTGCTAGCATATGACATTAATTTCTCGAGGTAATAATGTTCATCGCTTTATGACAAATAAAGGCTGAAATTTACTTAATCGGCGCAGATTAATAAATTATTAAATTGATGTAATAAAGGGGAGACTATTAACTCGCAACTGCATCAGTGTATCATAAAAACAATGTATGTTAATGTAAAATGGGAAAGATAATATTATTGACAGTTCAAATATTTTCCTATATTATCAAGTTCTTGAAAAACACGACAACGTGGATTCATTTCTTTAAATTTTCATGTTTTGTTAATAGCGTTGTAGTTTGCCTTTGAATTACATTTACTATGCTTAAAACTATTAACAAAACAGTTCTAACATCACGTGCTCCCATTTAACTACATGTGTACATATTTTTTCATTCATTTTAGTTGTAACCATGACAACTTATAAAGATGAACCTTTCGATGATTCATATCACAAGATGAAAATAAATCCTGTATTTATAGGGAAAAAAATAGAATTTTTTTATTTGTTATATTCTTTTTCTCTTTTTTGACCTTTCAATTCATATGAACAGATCAAGCACACATGCATGAATATAGAACAAGAGCGATCAGTAATCACATGTGTCGCCTCATGATGGCCAATTTCATGTTGGGACAAATTTTGTGACAGACAGACAGACAGTGCACAACTAGACTTGGTACTGATCATTCCTGTAAAGTTTGGATGAAATTGCACCAGTAGTTTATGAGGAGTAGTCCGGACAAGCTTTTGTGTATCTGGCAACGACAGAAAAAACACCTTTTTGTCAAAGGGCCATAACTCGGCC